CACTCCATTTCGCATCAGAAAGTGGCCACCTTGACATCGCACAGCTGCTCATTGAGCACAGTGCATCCATCAACCATACCACCAACAGTGGCAGGACTGCACTGCACCTTGCACGACAGAGGACTGATTTTGACCTTGTGCAGCTGCTCATAGAGCACAGCACATCTTTTGATCAAGCCAGTAAGGATGGCAGGACTCTGGTTCATCTTGCCTTGCTGAAGGGTGACAACCCAACTAACTCTGCAGGCATGGAGGGAAGGACCTGTGTATCTGAGTAGGTACAACAGCAAGCTTCAAGATGGAACCAATCCATGGCAGTGACGGTCGGGAGCAAGCCATGAGGGAAGAATCTGGGGAGCTGAATTATGTAGAAAATGTGCTAAGGATACAGAGTACATAGTGATTAGAATAGGGGATGAAAGAGACATACTGTGTCTGAAACAAAAGCTATAACAAAGAATGGAACATCATAATCTGAAAAAGGAGAGCTGAAACAGGGCTGATCGTGTCTGAGAACCAGCAGTGGGAAATAGAAAGTAGATACGAGTGAGCATGACAAGTGGCGGCACGACATAGTGGTGGTAGAGAGCAAGAGAGGAGTTGTGGGAACATCATCGGGATCTCAGATAAATCATTTACAGACACAGCGCAGTGTGAAGGGTGACATCTCCTCCCAACTGAAAATGTGACCATCCTCAGTGTTCCGTATCAGGTCGGCGGTAGTCTTGTGTTTACCGCGGGGGTCTGATTGGAGTGCGCTCTTATTATGTAATCTTATGTCAGCTTTCTCCGATTCTCTTCCTCCAGCACAGAGGCTTTCAAATTCTATGAAGTTTTGCAGCAAATGACATTTATTGCTACCTCTCTAACTCTTTGTCTCCTCAGAAATTTTAAAAACAGCGTAGAAACTGTTCTGTTGAACATCGGCCATTGCCTGCGCCGATCATGTGAGTGCCGAAGTAAAATCCAAACCGAAGCACAAACCAACGGAAACTTGAAGGATTATGCTGAGAAAATTAAAGGTAGGTAAAATTTCTATCAGAAAGAGACTTTCAGTGGTTCCTGCCTCAAAACCGTGCTGTTTACTGAAAGAAAACAGGTTGTAGAGGCCAGGAATCGAACCCGCGCCACGTATCGATTATATAATAAGGCAGCACCACGATCCGGACCCCGCGGTAAGCAACAGACTCTATACAGCGAGGTACGAGCTTGGTTCGTATAGAGCGTCTGTCTACGAGAGACTAGGTCGGCGGCTGATACTGCCGCTGATACGGGCTGTACGGCATTTTGGATGCACATAAATCAGCACTCATACGTTGAGTATCAGTCGCAATATTAGTCATAGCTAAATTGCAGCTGAAACAGGGAATATCAGATGGCCTGGGATTGCTTCTCGTACTTCCCATACAGGTTGCAATTCCAGGGTGACATATTTGTTGGATATCAGGCACAATTTCAAGCACTCTTATTTTTGTTCGTATACTAATGGTATCAGGAGCATCTTCAGGAGCACCAAGACATCACATTTTCTGGAGTGTCTGCAGGAGTGAGCTGCATTGCTCCACACGGACTTGTTCCTTCTATCTGCTTCTTTTACTCGTATATAAGCTACTTATACGTAGAGCGTGAGGACCAAGCTTGACATCGGCGTAGCCCATCCCCTGAGCCGACAAACGTGCAGAAATATCGCACAGTCTGAACGCAACGCAAAGCAAATCGGCGCCTCGGACTGCTGTGAGACCTATAGTTATGTCATGCTAATGAACAAATAAAAACAAGAAAGAAAGAAAGAAAGAAAAAAGCGCAAACCGTCCATGTCCCCGGGTGGACTCGAACCACCACCTCTCCCTGCGTAGGCACATTTCGTGGGAGCGAGCTGCATCGCTCCACGGGGACTCTTCCTTTCTTGCATTCAAAGTTGACCGTAGTCGTACAACGTTGGCACCGGTGAGGTCGAGGAGTCTGAATTAGACCGTGGAAATCAAGTGCGATCGACGAGCGGCACACGCAAGCGAAGCGTGTCAATGTGTCAACTGCGCAAGAGAAAAAAACATTGGACAGCTGGGGCGCTGTGAGACCTACGGTACGCTACCACGAGAAAAAGGAATCGCGAAGTTACTGGCATGGACAATAAAATAAAAAGCGACACTAACACTGTACTATGTCCCCGGGTGGACTCGAACCACCGCCTCTCCCTGCGTAGGCACAAATCGTGAAGCTCATTTCGTGGGAGCGAGTTGCATTGCTCCACGGGGACTCTTTCTTGCTCTCAAAGTTGAACCGTAGTCGTACAGCATCGGTACCGGCGAGGTCGACGAGTCTGAATTAGACCAACTGAGGCCTGAGGTAGAATTGCAATCCAAGCGCGGCACACGCACGCGCACCCTAAGCGTGTGTCGTCGAGTCGTCTCTTGTACAGCTGCGCAGGAGAAAAGAAACCATTGGACGGCTAACCGGTCGAGGGACCTCCGCCACCATTGACACGAGAAAAAATAAACCAAAAAGCTACCATGAGAAGTAAATAAAAAAGCACCGTCATACAACTTGAAGCGACATGTCCCCGGGTGGATTCGAACCACCAGCTCTCCCGGTATACATGATCGCATGCACGCCATATTTTGGGATTAAGCTACATTGCTCCACGGGGACTTGTTCCTTCTTGTATGTAGGCTGCTTATACGTAGAGCGTGAGGGCCAAGCTCGACATTGCCGTAGCCCATCCCTGAGCCGACATATCGCACAGTCTGAACGCAACGCAAACCAAATCGACGCCTCGGACTGCTGTGAGTTGAGACCTAAAGTTATGGCATGCTACCATGAACAAATAAAAACAAGAAAGAAATGAAGACAGAAAAAACCCCACCGCTTCACTTATGTCCCCGGGTGGACTCGAACCACCACCTCTCCCTGCGTAGACACAGATCGTCGAGCCTATTTCGTGGGAGCGAGCTGCATTGCTCCACGGGGACTCTTTCTTGCTTTCAAAGTTGAACCGCAGTCGTACAGCATCGGTACCGTGAGGTCGATGAGTCTGAATTAGACCAGTAACTGAGGTAGAATTGCGGCACACGCACGCGCACCCTAAGCGCGTGTCGTCCGAATCATCTCTTGTACACCTGCGCAAGAGAAAAAGAAAACATCGATGGTTAACTGGTCGCGGGACTTCCGCTACCATTGACACTAGAAAAAAGAAACCAAAAAGCTACCATGAGAAACAATCGATATGTCTTCGAGCGGATTCAAACCACCATTTCTCCCCTGCACCCAGAACGAAATTCGTTATTTTGTGGGAGTGAGCTGCATTGCTCCACGAGAACTTGTTCCTTCTGTCTCTTCCTTTTACTCGTATGTAGGCTACTTATACGTAGAGCTTGGGGACCAAGCTCGACATTGCCGTAGCCCATCCCTGAGCCGACATACGTGCAGAAATATCGCACGGTCTAAAAGCAACACAAAGCAAATTGGCGCCTCGGACTGCTGTGAGTTAAAACCTATAGTTATGGAATGCTACCATGTGGCATGAACAAATAAAAACAAGAAAGAAAGACACAAAAAATTCGACCGTTTCACCCTATGTCCCCGGGTGGACTCGAACCACCAGCTCTCCACAAATCGGGGAGCGAGCTGCATCGCTCCACGGGGACTCTTTCTGACTCTCAAAGTTGAACCGTAGTCGTACAGCATCGGCACCGGCGAGGTCGACGTAGTCTCTCGTAGACAGACGCTATATACTAACCAAGCTCGTACCTCGCAGTAAGGTCGACGAGTCTGAATTAGACCAGTAACCGAGGTAGAATTTCGATCCAAGAGCGGCACACGTGCGCGCAAGATAAGCGTGTGTCGTCCGAGTCATCTCTTGTACAGCTGCACAAGAGAAAAAGAAAACACCGACGGACCCGGTCACCGATCGAGGGACCTACGCCACCATTGACACGAAAAAAAAGAAACCAAAAAGCTACCATGAGAAATGACTATCTCATGTCCTCGGGCGGATTCGAACCGCCATTTCTCCCCTGCATCAGCTGCCATGTTCTCCATTTTGCGGGAGTGAGCTGCATTGCTCCACGAGGACGTGTTCCTTCTGTCCCTTTCTTTTACTCGATATCACAGCACCCAGCATCCAGCCGTCCAACGCTGTGGCGAACAGCTGAAATACCCGGTCGCGCTCGGAACGAACTGGGCCGGTGCGCTCAGATATCGATAAAGCGCCGTGTGATCTATATACATAGCTATCCTCGGTCCCACGACAAAAAGAACAACAAGTCGAGTAATGTCCCCGGGCGGACTCGAACCGCAGTCTCTCCCTGCCTACACTGTACATCGGCTATTCTGCAGGAGTGAGTTGCATTGCTCCACGCGGACTTGTTCCTTCTGTCTCCTTCTTTTACTCGTCTGTAGGCTACTTATACGTGGAACGTGAGGACCAAGCTCGACATTGCCGTAGCCCATCCCTGAGCCGACATACTTCCAGAAATATCGCACGGTCTAAAAGCAACGCACGCAAAGCAAATCGGCGCCTCGGACTGCTGTGAGTTGAGACCTATAATATAGTGATGGAATGCTACCACGAACAAATAAAAACACGAAAGCAAGGAAGAAAAAACAACGCCCCTAGCTCTATGTCCCCGGGTGGACTCGAACCACCCGCCTCTCCCTGCGTAGGCACAAATCGTGAAGCTCATTTCGTGGGAGCGAGCTGCATCGCTCCACGGGGACTCTTCCTTTCTTGCATTCAAATTTGACCGTAGTCGTACAGCGTTGGCACCGGTGAGGCCGAGGAGTCTGAATTAGACCGTGGAAATCAAATGCGATCGACGAGCGGCACACGCAAGCGAAGCGTGTCAATGTGTCAACTGCGCAAGAGAAAAAAACATTAGACAGCTGGAGCGCTGTGAGCCCTACGGTACGCTACCACGAGAAGAAAGAAAGAAATCGATAAGTTACTGGCATGGGCAATAAGTAAAATAAAAAGCCATTCGGCACTTTATGCTTAGCCATCATGTCCCCGGGTGGATTCGAACCACCAGCTCCCCCGGTATGTATATCATGATTCATCTCATAAAGCCACATTTTGGGAGTAAGCTACATTGCTCCACGGGGACTTGTTCCTTCTTGTATGTAGGCTGCTTATACGTAGAGCTTGAGACCCAAGCTCGACTTGCCGTAGCCCATCCCTGAGCCGACATATCGCACAGTCTGAAAACAACGCAAAGCAAATTGGCGCCTCGGACTGCTGTGAATTGAGACCTGTAATATATTTATGGAATGCTACCACGAACAAATAAAAACACGAAAGCAAGGAAGAAAAAAAGAACGCCCTCTCTCTATGTCCCCGGGTGGACTCGAACCACCACCTCTCCCTGCGTAGGAACACCGTGACATTATCAAGCTCATTTCGTGGGAGCGAGCTGCATTGCTCCACGGGGACTCTTTCTTGCATTCAAAGTTGAACCGTAGTTGTGCAGTTGTGCAGCATCGATATCGGTACCGGCGAGGTCAAGGAATCTGAACTAGACCAGTAACTGAGGTAGAATTTGTGATCCAAGAGCGGCACACGCACGCGCAACCTAAGCCTGTGTCGTCCGAGTCTGACTCATCTCTCGTGCTGCGCACGAGAAAAAGAAAACATCGACGGCTGGCCGGTCGAGGTACCTACGCCACCATTGGCACGAGAAAAAAGAATTCGAAACCAAAAAGCTACCATGAGAAATAGGCCAAAAAGCAACGTCCTATAACCAACATGTTCATGTCCTCGGGCGGATTCGAACCGCCATTTCTCCCCTGCATCTATAACAACGTTCCGCATTTTGCGGGAGTGAGCTGCATTGCTCCACGAGGACTCGTTCCTTCAAGTTCTGTCCCTTCCTTTTACATACTCGCATGTAGGCTACGGCTGCTTATATGTAGAGCTGGAGGACCAAGCTCGATGTCGCAGCACCCAGCACTCAGCCGTCCACCGCTGTGGCGAGCAGCTGAAATACCCGGTAGCGCTCGGAACGAAGTGGGCCGGTGCGCTCAGATATCGACCAAGCGCCGCGGGATCTACAGCTACAGCTATAGCTATACTCGGTCCCACGACAGAAGGAATACTCAGTCAGGTAATGTCCCCGGGCGGACTCGAACCGCCGTCTCTCCCTGCCTATACTGACATCGGCTATTTTATATTTTGCGGGAGTGAGCTGCATTGCTCCACGCGGACTTGTCAGAGGTATGCTGGGCTGGGTATTGTCAATGTGCGGGCAGACAAGACAGCATTGCCAAGCGTCGGTTTGGCGTCGCCGACGCGCAGCCGCCCGAACGCGATTGATTGATTGTTTCGACATCCGCATAGAAGGCGGGCAGGCAGCGCTCACCACCCACCCAGCCAGCCAGCCAGCCAGCCAGCTACCTCGGCGCTCAAAAGAAAAGAGCGACTGCTGGACTCCGCGCAACGCATAAACCACGGCACAGAAGGCGCAATCCTAGCGCGGCAACCGCAGCGGGTCGACAGCGCCTCAGCATCTCACATCTCATCTCATCACACGGGCGCGGACTCGACGCGACTAAACTGACGCGCGCGCCGCACGTCGCCCTTGCGCACGGACGGCGTCGCCGGTGCGGGAAAGGAGCGGCTCGCGCGCGAGCATCCGCGGGCCGGGGACGAGAGGACGAGCGGGGTGCGCTGGGGCGAGGACGCCGAGCGGCGACAGAGCAAGGACGCCGAGTCGCGTCAGGGCAGACGGCGGGCAAGGCGGGCACCGGCCAAGTCGAGCCAGCTCAGATGCCGCGCGGAGGTTGAGCATGTCAGAGCCTCAATGCGGGCGAGACGTTGAGCGAACGGCGGAGCGGGCGGCGGCGATAGACGGGGATCGGATGGGGCCGCACAGTACATATGAGGTAGGAACGGCGCAAGTCAATTCAGAGTAACAACACACAATATCGCATTCTACTGCTTCCGCTCTCCCACAGGCGCCGCCGACGTCGAGCGCTGGATCTAGTGCGCGTTGTTCTTGTGGTGTTCTGGATAAGACGAAACGAGGTCAGAGAAGGGAAGGGAAGAAGGGAAGAGGACGCACTGAGGTGGACTGTCGGAGGATAGAGGATAGGATAGGTCAGCATAATCTCCAGCTTGAAAAACGAGCAACACGCACGCTGATAGTCCAGCGTGTACCCAATCAAAAAGATGCCGCCGATGAGCGCGAGCACGGGGGCGCCGCTCGCGTTCTTGCCGCTGAAGAAGCGGCCTTTGAGGCCGCCGAAGCGCGCAGGGGCGGGGCCCTTGGGGAGCTTGGAGTAGAAGTCCACTAGCGGGGTGAGGGTGGCGCCGGAGTTGCCGGTCTGCGGAGTGGGCGGGTCAGCATCATAGCAGGGAGAGAAGAGGAGGGAGGGAAGGTGGGCGGAAAAGGCAGAGGGAATGCGGAGGGACACGGAAGAAGGGGCGGAAAGACACGGGAAGGACGGGACACGCACGACGAGACGCGGGGTAGTGATTTTGGGAGGGACAAGCCCAGAAGAGGCAAGCCTGAACTGATGGATCAAATCACAGCCACATTGCTTTCTTCCTCCGAAGTCCATGCGGCACATCGTTGGATCTCTATGCTGGCCTAGCCCTGCTGGTGAAATGGATTACCTATGGAAACCATGGTGCGTGGCCTGCCGGCGCTTAGTATAACCCGGACGATTTTGACTTATAGGTATGCTCCTGATATATGGATGATGAGATGCTCACCTTCCGCGGACGGCGACATCCTCTTCGCCGCCTACGCCTCACACGCGGAGAACCAGGACGCCATCGACGCCTCGGCCCTGCAGGCGTGAGGGGACTCGATCCAACGGGCATCATGTTACTGGGCCGAATACACGACCCGCATCCGCCGGCACCACAGAGCCGTGCGCCGTTTCCACTCGCCACAGCGCCGGCGACTGAGACTAGCCCGCTCACCAACATCGCCCACGATATGTGCTGCCACGGCGACAGGCACGCGGAAGGCGCCTTCTCCTGCATCGCCCTCGAGCCCGACGCTCCCAGCATCATCCAAGCTCCGGCGTTTCCTCCAGTTCCCGCTAACCACGACCGCTCAAAGTCGCTCTGCGTCGTACGCCACTTGCACCTCCACCACCTCTAACTCCACCCTCCGCGTCCGCCCGCCGCAGCGCAACCGCTTCCTCGGCTGCTAGGCAAGGACGAGGACAAGGACGCTCGAGTACTCGAGCGTCAACGCATCTGTGAAGCCAAGCGCGGGGCGCGGCCCTCACGATGGACCAAGCCGAGCACAGACCACTGCCTCGCCCACGTCGTAGGACTTCGTCGTGTCGTCTTCCCTGCTGCCTGCGTATGCGACCGCGCGCCGCATTTCTCTGCGTCTATTCCGCTGTTGTCTAGATCCGACTCCAGCAACGGCTATGGCAGCGATCTGATGTTCGCGCGCCCACCCCGGCCGGCTTGGCGCAGCCAGTGGGGCACTCCCGCGCGGATAGTTTGCCCGTCTCGCGGCGAGCACGTCCGACTTGTCGATGGCCGCTACAACCAGCGGCTCCTATTCGCAAGCGGGTTCTCCTCCTGGGCCTCCCACAAATCCGACGCCCAACCTCCTTCCTCCCAAAGCCAAATCTACGTCGAGTTAAGCCAACTCGTACGCTGCCCCCAAATCCATGCAAATCCCGATCGCAGAGGCGAAAAGATCTGCCTTTCCGATGGAAGGCTTGCTGGGGTGCATTCACATCACCGCGACGGGCGACGGGCCACTCTGCCTTGTATTTCTCGCCTCCCTTACACATTTATGGGTTCTCGTCCTCCGTTGTGGCGCCCGTCATCTCCTACCGCCACGGAGGCCACGCTTTCGTCTCACCTCGTGTCGTTTCGTTTCCATCCTCCGCTTTCGAGTCCTCCCCGCCTCTTTCTTTCCGCCAGCGGCCCGGCCACCCGGCCAAGATCACCTTCCATATACGGAACCGACTTTTCATGCTATTTTCCTGAAATGGCGGGGACGCGACCCTCCCCGCTCCAGGGGGTGGATAATGGATCATTCGCGCACCCGGGGCCGCGGTGACTAGGAGCGATAGGTCGTTCTGGGCGATGACGATTTGGGTCGTGGCGCCATTTCCGAGACTTGCAGTCTCGAAGTTGAGCCACGAGATCGCTTAACGCGTGCTGGAGGAGCCGGATACCGTGGATGGACGCCTGACGCTGCCGCGGTTTGGCGGGGTGATGATTAGTTGGGGTCTATTTCATTTTATTTTTTCTTTCCTGGGTGGAGACGTACGTCCCCGTAAAAGCACTGCGTATTTATTTATGTTCGCTTTCCCTTCCCTGCGCGTCGCACTTCCTGCATGTCCTCCTTATATCTTCAATCCTCTACGCTCCACGACCCTTCAACCTAGACTTTCTCCACCAACCATCTATCCTAGATGTCGCGATGTGGGGGCATCATGCCCCCTGTGTCATAATCGTTAGATTCCGCTCTCCGCGCCGATCATGTTCTCGTCATGCAGGTTGAAGATTGTGCTTTTGCAGATAAACCAACCATGAGGCGCTCCAGTCCAGCGTTCATCGGGAACAGACTAAAAAAATCCTGAGATGCCTCAAGGCATAAATTTCGATCCAGCCCATCACCGGAGCTTGAGGTGTCACGGAACTGGGTGTAATGGAACTACTGAGGAAGGGCAGATATTCGGAAATTGTTTTATGCTCTTACGAAAGCCCCGAGGCTGAGCACAGGCTCGTTCGAGTCCGGGTCGATTGAAGGACCACTGTTGCAGGGTAATGCTCCTGGCAAGCGGTTCGGAAACTGGGGATATGGGAACGCTGGATTGATGGAGAGCTAGAGAGGCGAAAGGGGACGAAAGAAGAATACGAATGGAGCTAGATTAATGTGTTAGGTTAGCGAATAGAATGATTTGACTGTGGAGAAAAGCAATAATCTCCTCGGCGCGAAGATGGGAATATTATGCAATGGTTAGTCGACGGCGCGAAGACGTTAACAAAAGGATTCGAGTGCCGAACACTGCGCGAAGCAGGGTTCCGAGAATAGACCAGAAAACCAAGAAAATCTCGTGTGAAGCGAGAAGGAGCGAGTGATGCATCTTCTCCGACTCTCTGCCCTTGGGTTCCAAAAAGCTTTCACGCTGTGCGACGAGATATTTTCTACATTTTCTTTCAATGTTCTGGGCTCATTTTTGCCCTCAGGTCGTGATTCTAAAGTTGACTATTTCCAGCTAGAAAAGCGACGCTTGAAAACAAGTGAGCGATGTCCCAATAACCCTATGTAGTGTTCTTGGCTTTATGAACGCTCATCCAAACTCCAAGCGATGATGCGAACGCCATTGGAGCCATAAGCCATCAATTTGCGCAATGCAAAACAGCCACCAGATGGCTCGAATGACTGCTGCGCAACTCTCTAATATCAAGTACCGATATCTGACGACAAAAGATGCGCTGGTCTGAACCTTTGGTTTACTCCTCGTGGCCATATTTTCAGTTTCAATTTCCTCTTTAATGCCCCGTCCATTCACTATGTTCTGCCCCCCCCCCTAGATACAGGCTGAGTCCAGATGACCTACCTGCAGCTGCCCAGAGGGGTCTGTCTAGGTGACTAGAAGCGGTCTGTGCAGGTCAGTCTAGGTATGACACAGGCCTACGAAACTTCCGTGTCATCCATTATGCCGTTTGATGCGACTCAAGAGAGCTGGGTGCCCGGCGTGGCTCCACTTCTTTCCTTCCCTCCCCCATCATCGAGTTGTCCCCTGCTCTCCCGCCTTCTCTCCTCCTCGATGCGCTGCAACGCCAAACGTCAACACCGCGATCAACTACTGGCCATCAAGCCTACCAACCTCAGGATCAAGCCTTGTATCGCAATACTTGCCGTCTCACCATTTTTCTGGCCAGCTATCCTGTACTCAGCGCTCGAGTTCAAGAGGCTTTTCTTTGTACTCTTTGGATACTTGTATTAGAAAGTTTACTTGCTGTTACTCATGCTCCTCTGCCCCCCTTCGAATTTCGTCCTGTATGAGTTGAATGAGTCGGACAATCTGCAGGTACTTGCCCAATGACCCAGGCGACTTGGAGTCGCGTCAAGGTATGAGGTTCGAGCAACTGCGAGCCTGTCAGGTTCTCAGCTCCACCGCTCATGCTTGAGGTGGTTGATCTTTCCCATCGACACTCCCGACTTCATACCCTTGGCGCAGCATCTTCTCGCTCAGCACAAATCCCCACACTTCCAT